TGGGTCCAGATATTTCATATTTTTGCGTAAAATGGGTCCACATTGTTTGAATTTACACGTAAAATTGGTTCACCCTGATATTGTCCCACACCGTTTGAAAATCCTGGCTATGGCATTGATCCTCATCCATCATCGTCACCCTCATCACCATTCTCACCAATCATCGTTGTCATCAACCATCATCACCATCACTTTCATCCTACTAATCGTCATCCCTATCCTCATAATCATCCCTATCCTCATCATCGTCAATCTCATCCTTATCTTCTTATCTTTAACACTCATTCATCATTCATCATCATAGTCCTCATTATCATCATCATTGTCATTATCATCTTCATCATCATCTTCATTACAATCATCATCTATATCATCATCGACCTTCTCCTCATCATCATCATCCTTATTAATCATCATTATCAATCATCATCCTCATGAAGAGGAGGACGACGATAAGAATGAAGATGACGATGAGGGGCAGAGGGGATGTTTCTCATCATTCGTCATCATCAACCTAAACATCATTCTCATCAATCATCCTTATCATTATCACGGTCATCCTCATTAATAACCATTATCATCAATCATAATCATCATCATCCTTATCTTCATCATCATCAAACTCATCATCCTAATCCTCCTTATTATCATCATTATCCTCACCATCCTTATCAGCATCATTTTCTTCCTCATCACCATCTATCATCAATCATCATCTACACCTCATTATCTTCCTTCTCCTCATCATCCTCATCCTCCTCATCATCATTCTTACCTTCATCACCATAATCATAATCATCATTACCATGATCAATCATTTTCTATCATTCTCATCACCATCGTCACGATCATTATCATCAACAGCTATTATCATCAATCATAATCACTATCACCTTCTTCCTCACCATCATCCTCATCATCTTTCTTCTCATCATCATCAACATCCTCCTTATAATGGGGATTATAATGAAGATGGGGATAACAATGAAGAAAATGATAATAATAATAATGACATCAGTATAATAGGAATAACAGTACTAACGCTAATATTAATATGAATTATAAACTATAATTTTTTTTAAACGCATAAGAATAATGATATACTATATTAATAATATTATAAAGTAACAACATAATAGTATAATAATGAG